TCTGTAGGGGTTGTATACCGGAGACTATGGTCTCGGCGATGGCGCGGGCCTTAGCCCTCAGAATGGGATCTTTGGGCAGTAGTGGCGGACCCTTATGTTTGTACACTTCGTCGATGTACTCAATGATGGCGAGGGACTCGACGAGTACAGTGCTGTCATTGATGACGAGTGCGGGCACCTGTAGGCACGGGTTTAGGGACCGGAACTCGGGTGTGAACTGTTCCGATGCGAGCAAACTGACCGGTTTGTACTCGTAGTCTATGCCCTTCAGTGCCAATGCTATTGCATAATGAGATAGTGTTTTGTATTTTAATTTTTTATCAGTGTTTATGACATAATTTTTAAGTTTATTAATTGATTTAATTTATTTGTTTGCTTAAAGTGTTATTTATTATACACGATAAGCTATTGATGTTAACAACTTGATAGCTATTGACAGCTGATATGCGTTTGTTTTATAATTTATAAATTATTATATAAATAGTTTAAGAAAAATGTTTAGATTATATTGCTATCAAGTGTTTGGTTTAATTTTTCGTGACAAATACCACGATTAATGTGATCGCAGTATTGTGTAAAATTACATGACTTATTAATTGACTGTATTTACAATTGGTATAAAATAAAACGTGAAATTCATTAAAAATTTAATAAATATTTTTTTAAATCATACAAAACCAGAACTTATATTTTGATGACATGTTATTTCTATAATGAAAATCATATTTCCATTTATGGCATCTGTTTATTAAATAAAACCTCAATTCCTTTATATGGAGTGCTGTTTATTGTTTGGTTTATATGTAATTTCAACGATAAACATGTGTATTATTTTAGTTTATATTGTAATCACACGTTTGTCTATTTAATTATGGTCAATTATTATTAAACACAACCATGTTCTTTAATATCAAATATATTAATAATAAATTGGTTGAATTTTAGTATAATTCATAAATTTTAAACAATATATATAAACTCAATATTTAAACATAAACAGTTAATATTATGTTAAATACAATAAAGATAACAGTATTATGTAATTGAATGCAAACATACCTGTCCTCACCCGCCAGGAACATGAGCTCCGGAAATAACTATAGAGAATAGGCTAACGAAACAAAACAATAATAAACATGATAAATAAAACACTATTAAATTAATTTATAATTTATACAACAATTACTTTTGTAGTCATTATCGGCGCAAACGATGAGCTCTATATCCGTTCAAAGTAAGCTAACGAAACAAAACAATAATAAACATGATAAATAAAACACTATTAAATTAATTTATAATTTATACAACAATTACTTTTGTAGTCATTATCGGCGCAAACGATGAGCTCTATATCCGTTCAAAGTAACACAATTCACAGTAAAAATAATTATGAAATTAATTTACAAATAATTTCCTCAATTATTACTGACTTGTGAGAGAAAAGATGTTTCCAATGTATATATAGTCAAAAATTACTAAACCTTGTTGTCAATAAGGGATTCCCTCTTTGTGTATAAGGGATTCCCTTCCCTTCCCTCTTCACTCATTTTCCATTCCCTTTCCCTCTTTTTCCCTTAAGGGAAAAGGGAATCCCTGCAGGGAAGAGGGAAAAGGGAAATTTAGTTGCATGTCTAGTTCAAAGGATTGTGTTAAGTGTCATTTTTATTAATACTTTAATTAAATGTTTATTAAAGGAGTTAATAATGACTGAACACTCTCTTTTCTACAAAGGTTACATATATATCAGTTTTTAATGATTTGGAACAACAGTATTGAATTATATATTCATATACTGTATACTTTATATTCTGCACATTCTCTGTTGTAAACGAAATAACATTTTTGTTTAAATCCTTGAATTGAAGGCCAAATATCGTGTTTTAAAAAAGTTGTTCAGTCAGTTAACTAGTATATAGATTAGTATCAATGAACAAAACTATCTCGTTTTACTTGATTACCATAATTCAAAAGGTACCCCAACCCACCAGTCTTCATATACACCCCCGATATGAACCATAGATTTGCGTTTTAAGATATCTTGGTATTTTGTAATATTATGGTTTATATTTTGAGACTCGGGTTTGTGAATAATTCAAAAGGTACCCCAACCCACCAGTCTTCATATACACCCCCGATATGAACCATAGATTTGCGTTTTAAGATATCTTGGTATTTTGTAATATTATGGTTTATATTTTGAGACTCGGGTTTGTGCTATGGCTCACAAATAGCTCCAATAGGACTCGAATGTGTGCAAGAGTTTTATTTTTGGTGTTTTTATACAATCAATAATTTAGTCATCGAATGGTGTGTTTCTCCAAATCCTAACATAAAACTTGTGTTTTAATTATCAGTTTTTTAACACAAGTCTCCAAATTAGATATTGCAGCACTTAAACAATTATATCCTTTTTTCAATGATTTATTTAGATTTTAAACTATAATAGAAGTAAAAAAAACTTAAAATCAATTTTGCAAATCACAGAAAAAAGTTAAGATATGGTTTCAATTCAGACAAGTGTTTAATGGCTTTGCGATAAGTGTCTCGTTATTTCCTATCTCTTCGCTCAATTAAAAAAAAGCATTAAAATTTAATAAAAGTTTGCAAACTTTATGAGTAATAACTATTTATTACAGTAACTTCTCATATAAAAGAATAAATTATATCATATCGATAAAAATACAATTCAAAATTCAATGTTCATTAATACTATTTGACTTCTTTAGCAAATAATACACTAGTGTTTGAGATCTTGAGGACAGTCGGGTTGTCTGTAGGGATGGCTGCGTCTAAAGGCATCCAACGTTAGGAGATATACGTAAATGTTGTGTATTTTGGGGAACAGTTGGTTGACATCCAGACCGAGATTAATGGCGTTAAACACTTGCGGTGCGAGACATACGTCGGCCACCGATACAGTGTCGCCGACACAACACCGGCCACTCGTCTCACCCAACAGTTTCTCCAATGACCGAAATCGGCTACTAATCCAGTATTTGGCCCATAATTTCTCTTCAACTTCTGGATCCTCTGATTTGTTAGATATAAGATATAGTCATTTACAAGTCTTCCACAGATACTTACTCTTGGGATCAATTGCGGTCATTTTTCCCACTTTTTCCAGCACCACATTGTTCTGAAAGGGTTGAATGCCGGCCACAACCGCCTGAGCGATGGCCCGCGCTCTGGCTCTCAAGAATATGTCCGATGGCAGCAGCGATGGTACGCCAGAATCGCCATATTTGTCCTCCAAATAGTCAATAATAGCAATGGACTCGACCACCACTCGGTCCCCATCGATGACGAGTGCGGGCACCTGATGGCAGGGGTTCAGGCGCTCAAACTCCGGGCTAAATTGCTCCGATGTGTGCAAATTCACGGCTTTGTATTCATATTCAATGCCTTTTATGTCCAGTGCTTTTAACCATATGTTTTGGTGAAAATTTATAATAATTTATATCAATATGTGTTAAGTCAGGGAAAAGTTATTTTTGCAATAATAAGTATTTTTCTGTAATACAATATTTTATGTAATACTGAAAGTCATATGCGATTAATATTCATATGATTTGAGTATTATTTATGAAAATAAATAATATTTCACACGAAATGTTAGCAAATAATTTACAGTTATTTATCACTACTTGACTTCAAGTATGTCTCAAATGACATATTATTGTCATTCATTTCAAACACTTGGACACTGAATGATAGATAGAAAAGTAGTGGACTTAACAATACATATAATAAATCATTTGATCGATATATTCATTGTCCGGAAATGTATTTCGTATATTCAATATATTAATAAATTATGGGCTAAGAAGTGGATAATCAGTCAATACACGCAATACATACCGATCCTCACTCTCCACGAACAGGAACTCAGATAACTGTTGTATAAAATTGGCTGCAAATAAGAAAATATATATTTATATTTAAAAATTATAATTAAAATAATTATTTAATATTTTAATATAAAAACAAATTACTTTTGTAGTCATTGCGGTAATACTCTGGCAATAAATGTTGAATTTATTTTAGACAAAAACAATGATATCACAGACAGATGTTGACTGCAAACTAAGAGTCAACGCATGCTTTTTATGCCATAAACTGATTATAGACTAAAAACCTATGGATTCTGTTATATTCTGTGATAACAAACCGCCAAAAGCCTTGAACATTGTCTGATATTGAAGGCCAATGGCAGGTATAAAGTGGTAAATGCAGACTATTTTTATGCTGTGGTAAATCCCTTGATGGTTTATTTTAACTTGTTATAGATAATTAAATTAATTTTATAATATACTGTAATATTACGACTACAGTTTACACAGTAATTAAATTAATTATATAATAACGTATGTAATTAATATATACAGTATGTACAGGCCATATCAAGAATGGAAAGCAATGAAAACTCTCATAGTAAACCATTGATTTTCATTTTAGCGCAAAATGACCACAATTTTTCCGGGAAATATCGGAGTTAATTAAACAAAAATTTTATAGCTTACAGTCAACTATCCTAGCTATTGTTTGTGAGAATTAAAATTAAATTCAATTACCCAACCTTCTGTAAATTACATTTTCCCTTGGGTATACTTTCCATAGAAATATAATGTAAAATTGGTTACAATATAAAAATATTTTATTTATTTAACAAATTTACAATAAAATTAACGAGTGATATTAATTTTTAAATAATAGTTGACTGTAAGCCATAAAATTTTGGTTTAATTAACTCCCATATTTCCCGAGAAAATTAGGTCATTTGGAAATCAATGGTTTATAATGGGTTTTCCATTCTTGAAATACCCTGTACATACTGTAATAATAAATTAGCAGTAGATTTTTTTGTCATTTTTTTAAACTAAAATTTTATTTATAAAATAAATAGATAATGAATAACATTAATGTTGATTTATTAAAATTGTTATAAATAATATAATTCTGCTGCTATAGGAGCCAAATCCGGGACAGGTATGCAGTGATCGTTTGTCTATTACGGTGAGAAAAACAGGGGTAACTGAAGGGGTATTTAAACCTCAATAATATTACACTGATTTAATCATTACAATTCGGATAATGAAGTAATTAAACAAAGTGTTATAACATAAATATATTTGAATTATATTTTACCTATTAATAAAATATTTTAAAAAATTCTGACTTGTATTTCATTTAATTTGTAAATCTTAATATATTAACCATTCATTTCCAACATAATTTTAAGTTGCGTTTAAGAAAGAATTTATTTAATTACTTATAATTTATAAGTTATAACTAATAAAAATATTAATTTTTTGCTGAAAGAATCATTATTAATAACATGTGATATATCAATGAAAATATATTTTTAAAATATTGTAAAAAACTTAAATGATTTATATTTTATATGAAAGTAATTTCACAATAAATATGTTTAGTAGCCATGGTTTTGCATTTGACACAAGTGTCTTGTTTATCATCTCATCACTCAAAATGAATACAAACAACAAATAGTGATTTGTATTGATATTGATTTGAAACTAAACATACATTGCAAACAATCATATTTTAGTACGGGGTTGGCCTGGGAGTTAGTAAAACTGTGCATGGTCTATTATAATTTCTGTTATAATTATTTATTTAAATTCTGGCATTACAACAAATAGAAATTATGTTAACCTAAGGTAATGTTTATTAACTAATAGTTTACTTACTGGGTTAAATTTAGCTGGTGTTGCCCCACGATTATAAAATCGTGGTTTCTTTTGGTAGAATTTAGATTAACTATGAGTTATTTTATCATAGTTTGAATAATTTTAATTATATCAATATTCTATTGTGGCAATAAAAATCATCTTGATTGTCTATTCTTTTATTAATTGACAATGTTTTGACCCTTTATAACCGACATATATTCTTGCTAAGTTCCTGTAATAGTGTGTCATCCCATCCCCAGCCCTTCAAACCTTTCCCCAACCCATCAACTGATATATCCGGCGATAAGATGTCAAACAAATATAACGATCATAAGATTGTACGACAACTCTATAACCAATTATTAATTTATTATAA